GGCGCGCGGGCCGCGCCGCCGCGCCGCCGCGCGCGGGCGCGGGCGCGACGCGCGCGCTCGGCGCCGCGCGCGCCGCGGACGTCGTCGCCATGACCGCCACCGCGCGTCGCTCCTCGGAGTGCGCGCGAAAGCGTCGACGTCACGTAAAAGCGTTTGCGGCCGAGACCCCGCGATCGGATCGCGGATCGGCCATCGGCGCCTCGTCAGTGAAGGCTTTCATCAAAATCGTTCGCCGCCGCCGGGAGGGCACACGCGGCCGCACGCGCGCGAGCGAGAAGAAGCGCGCGCGACCGGCGCCGACTCTCCGTCCAGTTCCGCGCGGCGCCGCGGCAGCGTCCGCGCGTCGACCCGCGCGCTCTCGCGGTCCCTCCGACGCGCTCGTCGCGTCGACGCGTCGAGTAGAAAAAGGAGGAAAAAGTACGTGTACCCACACGGAGAGGGCATTCCATTCATTCGACGCGATCGATGAGCGGCGCGTCGCGCGGCGACGGCGGGGGCTACTTCACGAACGACCGCGCGGTCAAGTACGGCTACGGCGTCCCCAGGCTCGCGCTCGTGACGCTCTTCGCGTTCGAGATCGTCCCTCGGCTGTTCCTCGCGGCGGAGCGCGGAGGCTCCGCCACGTCCGCGGCGACCTCGAGCGCGTCCGCCGCCGACGCGGCTTTCGAGTTTTTCACGTCGTCGCCGCCGGCCGACCCGCGGCGATGGGCGCTCACGCTCGCGCCGTATCTCGCGTCTCGAAGGTTCATCGGGCACGTGTACATCGGCAGCATCGGCGCGGGGGTCAACGTCCAGGTGTTAGGTTTCTTCGGGAACATCCTCATGCTCCTCCTCGCGGCGTTCGCGTGCGTCTGGGACGCGAAGCGCGATCTATCCATCGTGATTTACCTCATGAAGACCTTCGCGGGGGACCAGCTCGCGGGGAAGCTCGACACCGCGGAGTGGAAGCTCGTGCTGTTCTTCACGTTCGGGTGCATGGCGCCGTGGGTGTACTTCGCGAGCGGGTCGATGGACGCCGCGGCGAGCGCGTTCGCGCTGTACGCGAGGATTTTGCCGATTTTGTTCCTCGTGCAAGCCGTGTGCGAATACGGAGACGCGCACTACGAGGTGCGCAGCAGCGCCGGGTCTCTCTCTCTCTCTTTCTCTCTCTCTCTCTCTCTCTCTGAGCCCTAAGCCCTTAACCCTAAACCCTGACGTTCTCTTTCCTCCTCTCCCCCCTCCCCCCCCCCCCCGCAGCGATTCGTGTTTTTCCGGCATCGGTACGGCTTTGAGTTTTTCACGCTCCTGGCGCTGACGTCGCTCCCCGGAGGCATCACCCCCGAGGAGCTCAGGGTCGTGCAGTACGACCTCGTGATCTGCCTCATGTACCGCGTCTCGAACTTGATCATCATCGCGAACAAAAACGGTCTCTGCAGCGGCGTTTTAGGGTGCTTCACGATCGCGGCGCGCAAGCTTTGCTTCGCCGCGTTTGGCGTCCTGCGAGGCCAACGACTGGTAAACGTCACCGACCCCGAGGTGGCGACCGCGGTGATGCGCGCGAGCGTCGTGAAGGGCGACGCGCTCGAGAGGCACGTCGCGACGCCGGCGTGGCGGCCGCTGCTGAGCCTGGAGTCGGTGGACGGGGAGCTCCACTCGTCGATGATGCGCGATTTCCACGACTTGGCGCGACGGCTCCCGAGCCCGGGGCGACTCGGGGAGATCGCGACGCGGCGCGTCACGGAGCTGATTCGCGCGCACGAGCTCAAGGCGCGCATCGCGAAAGCGGCCAAGGCAAAGGAGCTGGGCGTGGACGTCGACGTCGCGATCGACGCGCGCGCGGTGGCGAGGCTATCTCTGACGGTGTTCGTCGAGTACGTCTTCGGGCGACGGTGGGAGCCCGCGTTTGAACCTCTGCTCGACGCGACGTGGGAGTGGCGGAAGGAGATCGCGGTGCGCGGCAAGGCGGACGTGAAGCTCAAACGGATCGCGGTGGACGTCGTCGTGAACGACTTGCTGCGGAAGCACCCGGTGCTGTGGCACGTCCACGGCGAAGACTGGGCGAAGCCGCGGTATTACTCTCTGATTCTTCAGCCGTATCTCGTGTCTCCCGCGATCAACGTCGGGGACATCGCCGTCGCGATGGCGCGGCACCCGAACTTATCGCTCGAGAACGCGATGCGGCGGATGCATCCGTTCCCGATATTCGAGCGCTACGTCGACAGGGACGTTTTGATTCGCGGGAAGGTGGTCGTTCGCGCGCACACCCAGGTGATCATGTTTACGACGGATTTCGCGTCGACGCGATACCGAAACGCGCAGTGGCCCGTCTTCGGCGCGGGGCCCAGGGCGTGCGCGGGGACGCAGCTCGCGCTCGGGATCCTCGCGGCGATTCGGAACAACATGGTCGGGCACGAGCTGTTCGAGCCGACGATCGGGCACCGGCACTCGGGGCGGCACAACGACGGCGTGACGACGCCGGCGGAGGCGTTTTACAGCGCGGCGACGATTCTGCCGATCGTGATGGGGTGGCGCGGGGACGAGTTCAGCGACGACGCGGAGTCGTTGGAGCTCGCGGCGGCGGCGGCGCTGAGCGGGCGCGTGCGGTGACGACGAGAAGACGACGCGCGGCGGGCGCGGGGGTGGTCGTATTTAGCTAGAGCGAGATCAAAAGTAATGTCCTCCCTGGGGTAACGTCGCGAGGTGTTCGGATTCGCTTTGTTCGTCGTCGTCGTCGTCGTCGTCGCTCTCGGACGGATCCAACCCCTCCTCGATCAAGTCCGCGCGACTTTCCGAGTAGCCGCTATCGCCGAGCTCGCACGCGCGGCGGTACCACTTCAGCGCCTCGTTTATGTCCTCCGCCACGCCGCACTCCTCGTGGTAGTAACAGTCCCCGAGATGTCGTGCAGAGGCCGGGTGACCCATCCCCGCCGCCTTGACGTATAACTCGATCGCCTTCGCTTCGTCTACGTCCACGCCTACGCCGAGCTCGTAGTGCCCGGCGAGGTCGTGTGTCGCGCCGACGTGCCCCAACTCGGACGCTTTTTCCAGCCACTCGAACGCCTTCCTCATGTCTTTATCCACGCCCTCGCCGTGGTGATAGGAAAGTCCCATCAAGTGCATGCAATCAGCATCGCCGCGATCGGCACCCTTGCGGTACCAGTAGACCGCCTCCTCGCACTCGTCCTCGTCGTAAAACTCGCCACCGAGCTTTTCCAACTCACTTACGCCGCCGCCGGGCAACGACGCGTCCGACTTCTCCGCGTCCCTGAACACCGTGCTCACGCTGGCGAGCGCGTCGCGGTCTCTCGGGTGCTCGAGATGCGAGAAGATCGCGCACGCGACGTTACCGTCGGCCTCGAGCGTGGGGCTCATGTCGAATCTGGGCGCGGCGGCGAGGGGCGCGCGCGCGGGGTCCTCCTTCAGAGTCGAGCGCGAGTCATCCGGAGCGCGAGCCCGAGTCGCGGGGCGCGGCGCGCGGGGAAGTGCGGGCTCGATGGCGTCAGATTTTTCTCGGACTCGGCAATGTCGCAAGCAGGTCGTCAAACCTAAAGCTCGCTCGCCAGACGACGCCGCGCGGCACGGCTCCCGACGCGCCCGCCGTCGCGAGCGATGGAGTACGTCAGCCTCGAGGGCCTGCGCCTCGACGGCCGCCGCCCGAAGGAAACGCGGCAGATGCGATGCGCGATGGGCGTCCTCCCCGCCGCCGACGGCAGCGCGGAATTCCGCGCGGGCAACACGCGCGTCATGTGCGCGGTCCACGGCCCGCGCGAGTGCGTCAATCGCGGCGAACGCGACGACGAGCGAGCGATCATCAAGTGCGAGTTCAGCCAGGCTGCGTTCAGCACGGGCGAGCGACGCGCGCGCGGGAAGGGCGACCGGCGCTCCGTCGAGCTCGCGCTCGTGATACGCCAGGCACTCGAGGCGACGGTGCTCGTCCACCTCGCGCCGCGATCGGAGATCAACGTGATGATACAAGTGCTCCAAGCCGACGGCGGCGTGCGAGCCGCGGCGATCAACGCCGCGGTCCTCGCCATCGCGAACGCGGGCATCCCGATGAAGGACACGATGGCGGCGTGCAGCGCGGGGTATCTGGACGGCACGCCGCTGTTGGATCTGAACTACGTCGAGGAGGGGGGCGGCGGCGTCCGCGTGCACGTCGCGACGCACGCGAGCCGCGGCGATAAGGTCGTCGTCGTGCAGGTGAGGATTCGCTGACTCCTTCCCGGAAAAACGCCATTCCTTGAGGCGTTTTCGTTTCCCCCCCGTCGTCGTCGCTTTTTAAAGTGGTCAGACCTCCCTCTCGACGCGCGCTCGACCCCGCGACGGCCGGACCCCGTTCGACTGACCTTTCGCCCGCCGCCGCCCGACGCTCTCCCAGACGGATAACAAGGCGAGCGTGGAGGTGTTCGAGCCCGTGCACGCGCTCGCGGTGGAGGGGTGCGCGGTCGTGCAGAAGGTGATGCGCGAGGCGATGATCGAGCACACGTCGATCTTAGCCACGCTCAGAGGCCGAGAGGCGCTTTAGGTATACACGTGTAGCTTAACGTAGAAATCAAAATATGACATCTGCATCTCCTCGAGACGAAACAGAAGCGTGCTCACCACCGGAACGCGTCGCGCTCGGCGTTTCTCGACATCGCCCTCCCGATGACGACCCCCACGCTCGTTGCGGCGAGGACGACGCCGCTCCATCGCAGTAATCCCAGCCCGATAGGCGTCCACGCGTCGCCCGCGCCGCCGTCGTCGCGCTCGCGGCCGAGCCATCCGAGACCCGCGCGGTAGTCATCCGCGCGGTGCGACGCGTCGTCTTCGAACAGCGCCCTCGGCGTCGCCGCCGCGACGGTCGACGAAACGTCCCGTTCCCGAGCGTTATCTGCGGACCCTCCCATGCGAATTGTTCGCCTCTCGGACCCGAGGAATCGCACGCCGCCGCTGCCGGTCGTCGTCGGGGACCCGAAGTCGCCGCCGCCGCCGCCGGAGCCGCCGCCGCCGCCAGAGAATCGGTCCCTCGCGAGCTCCGCGCGTAAGGCTTGGTTATCCGCCCTCGTCGCCACGACGTTCTCCTCCAGCGCCGCGAGCCTCGCGGCGGTCTCTCGGTTCGCGCTCCGCAGCGCCCCGAGGTCTTTGAGCACCGTCTGCATGAACCACGAGTTCGCGAAGACGTCGTCCGCGCGCGGCGGCGACGGCGTCGGCGTCGTCGTCGATCGCGTTGGTTTCGTCGTCGTCGTCGTCCTCGGACCGAGCGCGTCGTCGCCCTCTCCCGCCGCGTGGACGACGTCGGGGGAGTCCGCGGCCCCGGGCGTCGCGAACTTCGCGCGATCGCGCGCGAACGCCCTCGCGGATGCTGACGTGGCGGATGACGTGGACGCGAACGACCGCGCATCCTCGAACTCGTCGTCGTCGTCGTATTCGGACGCGTCGTCGTCGTCGTCGTCGCCTTCGCCTTCGCCTTCGCGCGCCACGTCGCCTGCCACGTCATCGCCACGTGGTGCCACTTCCGCGTCTTCGTCCTCGATATTCATCGGCGGCGTCGGCGTTCGCGCCGGCGGCGGCGGCGTTCCGTGCGCTTTCACGGATCCAGACGACGACAGCCCTCTCCGTCTCGGCGACGCGCCCCCCGCGTGCGCGTCCAGACGCGCGCCGTCCAAAACCTTCATCCTCGGTAACGGCCTCTCCCCGTCCGTTACCCCGTGATGCTCGCTCAAAAACTCGTCGCATCGCTTCGCCCACTCGCGGAACGCCCCCGCGGCGCGATGCTCCAGCATCTTCTCGACGACCGGCCGCAGCGCCCACGCGCCCGCCGCCGAGCAACGAATCGTCGCGCGCATCCCCGTCCGCGCGCGCGCCCCGCCGTCCCCGTCCCCGTCCCCGTCCCCGTCCCCGTCCCCGCCGTCCCCGTCCCCGTCCCCGGGCGGTATCGACCAGTACCGCGCGATGACGTCCGTCTTGAACAGCTCCGCGTTCGCGATCGCGCCGGGCGCGCGCGGCGAAAACAGCGTCGGCGCGCTGGACACCGTCGCGACGCCGGCGGCGGCGTCGAACTCGAACCTCTGCGTCTCCTCGAATCGCAGCGTCGCGACGGAGGACACGCCGAGGAGGCGCTCGATGACGCCCGGGACGGTCATTCGCTTCGCGAAGGTCACGACGCGCTCGGCGGAGGCGACGACGCCGACGCCTCGCGGCGGCGTCGACGGCGTCGACGACGAGTCGCGCGACGATTCGGTCGCGTCGAAGGCGGAATCGTCTGCGGGCGGCGTCGACGCCGTCTTGGCAGTAGTGGGTCGCCACGGCGGCACGGAGACGTGCGCGTCGTCGCCGTCGCCCGTCTCCGCGTGATACCGCGTCAGGAAGAAGCCGTCGTCGCCGTAGACGACCCTGAGGAACGTCTCCAGCGGGACGTCGAACGTCTGCTCGAGCTCGTACTCGCGCATCGCGTCGGTGGAAGGAAGCTTCTTCTTCCTCGCCCTTGACGATGGTCCTTCTTCGCCGATTTGCCAAATAATTCCAAATTCCAATCGTCCGCGGTCGCCGAAGCCTCCTTCCTCCTCCTCCTCCTCCGACGACGACGACGACGACGACGACGCGCTGCCGCCTGTCGCCGGTCGCGTTCCCGAACGAACCGCGGGAAGCGCGCGAAGCGCGACGACGCGCGCGAGCGAATGCCCCCTACCCGCGAGGATGATAAATCGTCGTCGTTGGTCGTCGTCGTCGTCGTCGTCAGCGCGATGAATTTCGTCCTGTCTCGGAAAAAGCGCTCCCAAATTCCAACCGATCCCGCCGGCTACAACTAGGTCACAGCGCGCCCCCCCGCCCCGCACCCCCCCCTCCCACGAGAGATTTTGCGAGGATGGGCACCGAGCGGTGGCTCGCGCCCCTGCGGGTCCGGCACGACCCCCCCGACGGCGCCCCCCCCCGCGCGGCGCCGTACCGCGAGCCCGTCGAGCTCGCGTGCTTCTCGAAATCGCGCGAGCGCGGCGACGTCTACGACGCGTCGAATCTCAAGGCGTACGCGCGACCGGACGTCCCGTTCGACCTCTCGCGCGGGCACGACGCGTTCCGCGACCGCGACCGCGGCGAGCGCCGCCCCGCGGACGTGACGCCGATATTCGAGTCGCTGCGGCGCGCGGGCGTGGACGAGCGCGAGCTCGCGGCGGCGGACGTGCTCACGTGGCGCGGCAACTTTAGGTGCGTTCTATACACTGGTCCCCATACGACCCCGTTCGCGTGGTGAACGTCATTCCTTAAGGACTTTGCCCGGCGCATCTCTCCGCCCATCCCTCGGTTTCAATCCCCGCCCTCGACGCCTTTGAACTCCACCTGACGCCTTTGAACTCCACCCCGCCATCGCTTTGTATGGAACGACCCTTAGCAAAATTCTCGCGACGCCGTGGAACGCACGAGACGCGTGGCACCTCGAGTGCGAGCTCGTGGACGGCGTCTGCGTCCTCAACGTCCTCGAGCCGGAGGAGTGCGTGCGAAGGGAGGCGAACAGGGAGGGCACGCGACAGGGTTTGATGGCGTACTGGGGGTACTCGTTCGAGGAGGCGTGCACGGGCGGCGACTACTCGTCCCCCGTGGATTGCCTCGACGCGTACTGCGTCGTGGTGCGAACCGGCGTGGGGAGGCATCGGCTGATCATGGGCGGCGAGGTGGACTGCTGGGACGGCGAGAAGAGCGGGTTGGGTGGGTACATCGAGCTTAAGACGACGCGGGTGATGGACACCGCGTCGCAAGTCGCGCGGTTCGAGCGAGATAAGCTGCTCAAGTGGTGGGCGCAATCGTTTTCCATCGGGTGCCGACGCATCCTCGTCGGCTTCCGCGACGACGACGGGTTCGTGCGGAAGCTGCAGACGTTGGAGACGCTCAAGTTGCCCGGGTACGCCGCGCGGCACCCTGGGGCGTGGGACCCGAAGACCGCGCTGCAGTTCGCGGATCGACTTCTCGCGTGGCTCAGAACGCACCTCGAAAACGTTCCTCCCGGGTCGAGGCTCAGGGTGGAGTACGAGCCGCGAAAGCACCGCGGCGAAGTGCGATGCGTCCTCGACTCGGACGTCCCGGACTTTTTACCCGCCGCGGCCCGAGACGCGCTTGGACGCGCGGCGGCGTTCAGGGAGGCGGCGCGCGAGCGCAGCGGCGGCGGCGGGTCGAGAAGCACGGGCAGCGCGGGGGGCAGCGTCGGCACGGCGGCGAAGGCAATCGCCGCCGCCGCCGCGGGCGCGGGGTACGGCAGGAAGCGGAAGATTCACGGCGCTTCGCCGGCGACGTCGAAGGACACCGCGGCGACGCCGGGGTCGGGCGGCTCGGACAAGGGCGGTTCGGACGACGTGGACAAACCCGGGACGCCGAGAGTCGTGCACTGGGACGCGGACAGGGAGCACTCGTCCCCGCACGGGCATCGACGACGACGGCGGCACGAGCGGTCGCAGACGCCGGTTCCCGGCGCGGGCGGCGGCGGCGCGGGGACCGGGTCGGGGTCAGGGTCAGGGTCTGGCGGCGGCGGCGGCGGCGGCGGCGACAGGGACGTGAGAACGACCGTCGGCGGCGGCGGCGGCGGCGGAGGCGGCGGAGGCGGCGGCGGTAGGGAGCCCGCCGCGCACGTCGCGCCGCGGCCGCAGTACCACCCGATCGTCGCCGGTCCGGGCTTTGGCGACCCGCTGAAGATGGCCGCGGACAAGGCGGCGTACGCGCGCTCGCTCGGCCCCGCGGCGATGTCCTACCTCATGGGGTACTCCCCCGGGGACGCGCAGTTTCGCGGCGACGAGCCAAAGCCGAAGCCCGCGACGCCGCCGTCGCGCGGCGGCGCCGTGGCCGGGAAGACGGAACGTCAACCGTCGCACCACCCAGACAGCGACGGTGAGAAGAAAGGCGACGCCGCGGGCGAGGAGCACGACGTCGACGAGACCGCGCTCGCGGCGGCGAAGGACGTCGGCCTCGACCCGGCGAAGTTTGCGTTCGACCCTCTGAATCCCGCGGCGACGCCGAAGGCGACCGACCTCACGGCGTTGGGCGTCTCCAACGCCGCGGAAGCGAGCGGGGACGGGCAGCAGAGCTCGTACGTCGCGGCGGCGGAAGCGAGCGACGCGGGGGAGGGAGGGCGGGCGAGCTGGGGGGCGACCGCGACGAGCGAGGGCGCGGAGGGAGCTCGAGCGCGCGGAAGTTTGACGAGAGAAGCGTGACGACGGGAACGGATGGATGATGTGTAACGCCTATTGCGCGCCCGTTTTTCGTTTCTTTATTTTAAACTACGTGTACGTCACGAACGACGACTGCCTTCGACGCGCGCGCGTCTGTCCTCTGTCGTTCTCGGGTCAGTCGAAGAGGAACCCCTCGCACTCGACCTCGCCGTCGTCGCCGAGGCCAAACTCGAGCGCTCTCGCCGGCGTCTCGTCGTCGTCGTCTCCGCCGTCGTCGTCCTTCGCCCTCTTCGCCGACGAGCTCCCCGGCGCGTATCGATCGTACCGTCCCCCGGTCGTCCCCGGCTCGATCCCAATCCTCCACGGTTTCACCTCCACCGCGGCGGACACCCGTGCCGCGGTCACGGTGACGTCGTCGACGACGCACGGGCCCCGGTCGCGGTTATCCCCGACCACGTCCGCCGTGTGCCCGTCCCAGCCGTCGCGAGCGTTGTGCGGCTCCCTCCCCACGATGGGTGCGTCCGAGAAGTCGACGCCGCCGCTCTTCCCGCGCCACTTCTCCGAGTTCTCGCCCTCGAAGACGCGCGCGTCGTCGACGTCTCTCGCGAGACCGAGCGTCGCGAGGTGGCTCAGCGTCGCCGCGGGCGAGCCGCCGTTCTTCACGCACGCGTCCCACTGATGAGATTAAAAGGCGGGCGGGCTCGACGGTCAGTCGGTCGAAAGGCGGGCGGCTTAGGGCCCCCGGATCGAGCGTCGAAACCGAATGGCAAAGTCCTCGAGAGACGACGGTCGTATGGGAACCAGTGTGGGAAAGCGGTCTCACCGCGGCGACGAAGATGGGCACGCCGATGGCTTCCGCCTCGCGAAGCACGTCCGCGCCGCTCGCGACGACGCACAGCGCGTCCGCCCAGCCGAGCGCGCCCTCGTACGGATCGTCGACGCTCCCTCTCGCGCCGTCGTACACCCAGAAGTCGCTCGCTTTGGGCACGAACGCGGGTCTCGGGTATCTCTTCGGTTTCCCGCGGAGCCACCGGCGAATCGGTAACAAAAACGTCCACTCCGGGTCGTTCCATACGAGCGAACGTCGGGGTGGAGTTGAAAGGCGTCAGGGGTGGAGTTGAAAGGCGTCGTGGTCGGGGATTGAAACCGAGGGGTGGGCGGAGAGAATCGCCCGCAAAAGTCCTCAAGGAACGGCGTTCACCACGCTAACGGGGTCGTATGGGAACCAGTGTGAGATAGAACGCACCTCCTCCCAAAACGCCCTCCGCCTCGGCCAAGGCTTGGGCTCTTTCTGGACGTACTCCGCCCCCGTCGTGTCCACCTCGCTCGGGCCGTACGGCGGTAACAAGTCCACGTAGCTCGCCAAGTCCGTCCTCGCGCACGTCCCCACGCCCTGCCCGCGAGGAAGCTCGTGGCACGCGTACGGTTTTTTCAAATCCTCGCGCGTCGCCGTCGAAGGCGCCGCCGCGCGTTGGTCGCGCATCGCTCGCTCGAACGCGCGGCACACCTCCACGCGCAGCGCGTGCGTCGTGCTCGGCGCGAACGCGACGAAGACGCTGCCGAACCCGCCGCCGCCGGGCTTCGTCGCGGACCGCCGCGCGCGCGGGACGAACGACGACAGCGACGCCGCGAGCTTCGCGTCGGCTTCGGCGACGGCTTTCCTCTTCGCCGTCGCCGGCGCCAAGAGCTCCCAGAGCCGACGCGCCGGCGACGTCGCGCGGACGACGGGCGGCGGCGTGACGTACATCACGAGCCTCGGCGATTTCCGCAGGTGCGTGAACTCGACGCGCCAGCGTTCTCGTGCCTCGTGGAGGATCCGCAGGTCCACGCGCACGCGCGGCGGCGGCGTCGGGTCGCGCTCGCGCGCCCTCACCTTGCCGAACGGCAGCCGTCGGCTCTCGTCGCTTCCGCGTCCTCCTCGTCCCGAGGGCCGTCCTATACGAGCGAATGTCGGGGTGGAGTTGAAAGGCGTCAGTTGAAGTTGAAAGGCGCCGAGGGCGGGGATTGAAAGCGAGGGGTGGGCGGAGAGATGCGCCGGGAAAAGTCCTTAAGGATCGGCGTTCACAACGCCGACGCGGTCGTATGGGGACCAGTGTATAGAACGCACCTGAGCCGACGAGATCGAACCTCGCGTCCGCGACGCCCACCTGCGGCCGCAGCGACACGAGGAACACGGCGTCGCCGCAACGCCGCTTCAGCGCGACGCCGGTCGGGACCGTGGACGGCGCGTCGCAGACGACGAGCGTTCGTCCGCCGAACTTTCGCTCGAAGCGCCACTCGCGGACGTTCGTCGCGAGCGCGTCGATATCGACGCCGAGCCAGACGATATCCGACGCCGCGCTCGCGTTAAAGATCGACTCGTACGCCTCGTGGAGCGTCACGCGCCACGCGATCGGGAGCGCGTGCGTTATCCGCGCGAGGAGAAGGACGAGGCGCGACGGCGGCGGCGGCGGGAAGAGCGCGACCCCCTGCAGCGCGCGCACTAGATCCCGCCGATCTGCGTCACCCTCGGGATCGCCTACGCCGGCGTAGCTCGCCGGCGTCGCGCCCCAGTCCGCGTGATCGACGCCGCCGATCCGCGGCGCGCCCGCGCATCGAATCCCCGCGCCGTCGAGACGCACGGAGAAGAGCTCGCACGACGCGGACGGCGGCGACGTCAACCCGAGAACGCGCGCGAGTTTGATCGATCGCGTTTCCGCGTCGAGGTCGCGCCCGCGCGCGCCGCGGTCGGTGAGGAGGAGCGCGCGCGTCACGCGCGCGGGGTCCGCGAGCGCGTCGTCGGGCTCCCACGGCGTCGACGGCGGGCTCGGCGAGGGCGGCATCGCGCCGGGCGCGCGCGCGACGAGAGGTCGCGCCGCTTCCGTGTGCTTTGACGGACGACGCGACGCGCGGAGACGACAGAAAAACTAACGTTCACCGACGTTCATCCGGACGTCCCGGTCAGCTTCGGGTGAACGTCGTGCGGTCGGCCGTTTCGAAAGTCGACTCTTCGAGAAGTTGAAGGCAGACGCGAAGCCTCGGCGTCGGATCGCAGACCGAGGTCGCGCGCCGCGCCGGGCCGTCAGCGTCGCCGCCTCGCGCGCGCTCTCGGCGCGACATCGCGGACGACGCCGACGACGTCGCCGCGATGCAACCCAAGCGCCGCGCGCGGCGGGAGCTCGTGAGCTCGCCCCCGCCCGCGCCGCGATTCGACGCCCCGCGCGGGGGGAGAGACGTTGATTTGACGACGACGACGAATCTGACGACGACGCGGAAGGCGTCGCCGCTCGACGCGCCACCGTGGAGCGTCTCCTCCCCCGCGGCTCCCCCCAGCGCGTCGCAGACGCCGTACCCGTCCACCGCGGAGCCGCGCGACTTCCGCGATCGCGCCGCGAGCGGCCGCAGCGCGTCCGCGTCCGCGGCGTCGTCGCGAGGCGCGACGCCGCGAGGCAGCGGCGCGTTCGATCGCGGAGATCTGCCGCCGATTCGAACCAACTCGGGGCTCTCGTTCGCGGAAGCGCTCGCGAGGAACTCCGGAGGGAGCGGTGCGTCGCCAGCCTTCTTCCGCGTCGACGTCTCGCGCGCGATCGCGGCCGCGCGATCCGTCGGGGACCCGTCGATCCGTTCGCGCGCCTCTCCACCTTGGTTTTTTCTCTGATGCTCGCTGAACTGAAAAAAAATCCCACTCGTTCGCGTTCGTCGCCGTCGAATCGAACGCCCCCTCCCTCGCATCACTCCAGATCACAGCGGATCGGGCTCGGACCTCGCGGCGTGCGCGAACGCGAAGCGCAAGGCGGCGGACGACGAGACCGCCGCGGCGGACGCGCGACGCCCGCGCGCGGACGCGGACGCGGACGCGCGCGACCTGTCGCGTCATCATTTAGAATCCCCGCCGTTCGCGCCCCGCCTCGACGACGCGACGTTCGCCACGACGACGACGACGACGGAGGTCCAGGGCGCGTTCTCGCCGCTACAGCAAGGCCCTCCCTCCGCGCTGCCGTTCACGACGGACCCGAACACCGGCGTCCCGTGCGTGGACGTCGACGTCGTCGTCAGGGCGCTGACGGCGGCGGCGGCGGGGGCGCTCCGCGCGCACGTGGTGGACGTGCGATACCCCCCCGAGTACGCGCGCGGGCGATTGCGCGGCGCGGTGAACGTGTTCGACCCGTTAGAGCTTCAGGCGTTTCTCTGCGCGCTCGTGCGCGAGGACGCGGAGCGAGCCGCGGAGGCGCTGCGGCGAGGCGGCGACCACGGCGGCGGGTACGACGGCGACGCGACGGCGTCCACGGCGAACAGCGTGTTCATCCTCTACGACGACCACGGCGACGTCCGCGCGCCCCGAATGTGGCGGCATCTCCGCAACCTCGACCGGCGCGACCACCTCGCGGACTACCCCGCGCTGACGTTCCCGCACACGTACGTCATGAGAGGCGGGCACGACGCGTTCGCGCGGCGCGCGATGGAGCCGACGCGCGACGGCGACGAGGCGCGGCGGTTCGTCGTCGGCGCGCACGCGCGCGCGGACGACGCGAGCGTGGTGGAGGAGACGCGTTGGATCGCGGGGCGGCAGCGGGGCGCGTGGCTACTCGCGAGGCACGCGCGGGGGATCGGGCACGCGCCGACGGCGGCGGAGGTGGGCGAGATG